ATCCTGAGCCAACCTCACTTCTGCTGTCACACTTGACGCCATCAATGATGCCACCTGGCTGATCCATCTCATTGGGGGTCTTCCTCTTTTTCTCTGACCCTCCATCTTACCCAGCATGACACCCTTCTCCAGCGACTGTTCCCTCCTGACAATATGTTCAAAGTATGAGAGATGAAGCTTAGCCATCCTGGCCTCCAAGGAGCACTCATAGCAACCCTGTATAGGGTTTCCAAGCAGTGGCTGGTGACTTTGAACCTCTGACCTTGAACTTCACACAGACCTTGAGGTCTGTTTGAAAAAGAGGAAGACTCCCAATGAGATGATTGACAGTGGCAGCAGCAATGGGATCAAATGGAACAATTGTGAGGATGGTGCAGGACTGGACAGTGTTTTGTCATGTTGTGCATTGGGTCCCTGAGTTAGAACTGACTTTATAAGTAGGCACCTAACAACAACTGTATATATATATATCTGTGTCTCTATTTGCATATAAGGAGCTCTGGTAGCGTAGTGGTTACGAATCGGGCTGCGAATCGCAAGTTCAGCAGTTCGAAACTACCAGCTGTTCCGTGGGAGAAAGTTGAGGCTTTCTGCTCCCATAAAGATTAATAGCCTCGGAAACCCTGTTCAGGGTCGCTATGAGTCGGAACCGACTCCACGGCACATAACAACAACAACAACTATTTGTATATATGCATGTCTCTTTAGCTCTTTCTATATTTCACTGGTTCTTCTTCTATAGAGAACCCAGACTAAGACAAAATTTTAGTTCATATTTTTCCTACTAAGAAAATTCATTTCAGAGGATCCAGGGCTCCTCCCCTCTGTTTCAAGCTCTGCCTTTGACTTGGGAACTGGTCCGCAGTGTCCCTATTAGAAGAATGTAGGGAGGGTACTGTCTCTTGATGCTTCACAACACAGCCACGGTGTCCTTTACTGAACAGATGGGTTAATTGAAGAAGGAGGAGAAAACTAAAATTGTCAACCAAAAGAGGTCTTCCCTCCATAGTTCAGGGGAATGGAATTCAAGTTGTACATTCAACGAACACATGCTAGGTTTTTTCTGAAGTGCCTAAGACAGATCATATCTTCAATTTTTAGAGCTTTCATTTAAATGAGAGGGAGACAGACAAGAAATAAATAAACATACCTGTGCCCTTGATTCTGACTCACAGTGACCCGGTAGGACATTATAGAAGAGAACAGTCCCATAGAGTCTTCAGGGCTATAATCTATGGAAGCTGACTGCCACATCTTTCTTCCAGAGCTACTGGTAAGTTCAAACAGCCAAACTTTTGGTGAACCACGACATCACCTTTAGGTAAACATTGTTGCTTTGTTAAGTACTATCTAGCTGGTTCCTATTCATCGACCCTGTATAGGGTTTCCTAGGAGTGGCTGGTGTGTTTGAACCACCGATCTTGAAGTTAGTACTCCAGTACTTATCCTACAGTGCCACAATGGGACTCCTAAGTAAACATACACCTGGCCAGATAATTAGAGATGGTTCTAAGTACTATGAGGGAAATAAACAGGGTGATACTTCTGATGGTGTTCCCAGAATGTGTCTCTAAGGAAGTGATAGTCACATTTGAGGTGAGAGTGAGGGAGAGGAAGAAGCTAGCCTGTGAAGAGGCATAATGGAATTCGTCCCAGGAGTTCCCCTGGCCCCAGGTCTTTGCCTCTTCTCATAGATGTCATGTTCTATTCCACACTTACTTATAGTTTAGACACCTCTCTTCTAGGCCACATCGAGTCCTGCTGTGGTGCTGTGTGGTAAAGCACTGGACCGCAAGGTTGGTCGTTCAAACTCACAAGCTGCTTCTCAGAAACCCTATACAGGGTTACTATGAGTTGGAACCGACTCAAGGGCACTTAACATCAACAGCTTCTAGGCCACAGGAATTGAGTCCTCCTTCCCTGTACCGCCCCACACAGGGCTGTCCTTTAATGGTGATCCATGTTAGAGTGAACTGTTTTCATCACGACATGTGACATCAGGAGCCCTGCTGTTTATGCCTTCTCTAAGAAACTCCACCTGATTTCTTGACGGACTGATTCTGTAGTCATCGCCACCCTGTAAGGTTTCCAAGGAGCAGCAAGTGGGTTTGACAGCCAACCTGGTGGTTAGCAGTCCAGGGTTTATCCTACAGCATCACACTAGGATTCTAATCCCTATGTGTTGGCTCTATTCTGTCTCATATGGCCACTCATGGGTTTTTGGATTTATTTTAATGCCTCGATTACATGAAGGTCAAGAGGCCACTGGAGAATTTCAAATGCCACTAGACAGACGTTTTGAAGGCAGACTCTGGTGAGTGAAGGAGGTTGGCGCCAAGGCCCCAGGATGACGTCACTCGAAGGTGGGCCGACTCAGAGTGGGGACGTGACGTCTCACCAGCGGGCTTGTCGGTCGTGAGATCACCTGGTGGGCGCGGCCAGGCCGAAACCCCTGTGTCGTCACGGGCGGGGCGGGGCCAGAGCGTGTCAGCCAAGCCGAATCAAAACAAGCCCGAGACCCGCCTTTTCCCTCCGGCTCGGGAGCGGCTCGCTAGCGCCCCGAGCCTGCGGCGTCCCGAGCTCGGTGGCCGCGTGCCGGCTCCTGGAAGCCAGGCTGGGAGCGGCGGCCAGGATGGCGCGGCGCGGGCCGCGCGGCTAGACGGGCGCCGGGGAGCCGCCAGCCCGCGCCCTGCATTCTCTCGGGCGCCTGGACCGCGGGGACATGAGCGGCCGTACAGCGGGGAGCCGCCTTCGCTGACGCCGGGCACCTGGACGCTCGCGAGATGCCCAACCCCAAAGCCAGCAAAGGCGGCCGCAAAAACAAGCGCGCCAACAGCAGCGGGGACGAGCAAGAAAATGGAGCCGGGGCCCTGGCAGCG